AATAATAATAATAATAATAATAATCTATATCTATATATATATATATATATATATATATATATAATATGAGAGGTGATAGCGCTTACGTGACAACACCACAATTAATCTCTATTTTTTATTTTAAAAATATTAGTTAATTAATTATTAATTGAAAAATAATATATACATTAAAAATTGAAAGTAAGAAACTATTTTTTCTTAAAAGTAACCGAATTTAGAGGAAAAAAAGTATGTGGAGATCATCAGTTTATACAAAATTTGAATTTTAAATAAATTTGAATAGTAAATCACGTTTTACTCCTTTTTAATAGCAACAGAATGTGACTTTTTAAAAATATTTATTACAATTAACGTGAAATCAGTTTTAAAAATTCTCCTTTCATAATTAAAAATAATGTTCCTAAATCATCTCTATTATATATATATATATATAATATGAGAGGTGATAGCGCCTACATGTCAGCGCCACAATTAATCTCTAATTTTTAAATTTTAAATTATCAACTAATCAAATATAATAATTTGTTTTAAAATAAAGAAAAGAAGTTACTCTTTTAGAAGATAAAAACGTTTAAATAAGTAGTTACATTCTTGAATTTTGAGTTTTTTAATAGGAGAGGTGATAGCGCCTACATGTCAGCGCCACAATTAATCTCTAATTTTAAATTTTAAATTATCAACTAATCAAATATAATAATTTGTTTTAAAATAAAGAAAAGAAGTTACTCTTTTAGAAGATAAAAACGTTTAAATAAGTAGTTACATTCTTGAATTTTGAGTTTTTTAAAAAATAATTAAATATAGATAATTAAAAATTGATTAACAAAAAAGTTTTTTAAAAAATAATAACAACCCACGTCCTTTGAAAAAACATATTCTTTTAAATAATTAAATATATATATATATATATATATATATATATATATATAATAGAATTAATATATATATATAGAGAGAGAGAGAGTGTGTTATTCCTTTTTCTTTTTTTTTGGGGGGGGGGGGGGGGGGGGGGGGGGGGGGGGAGTTATCATATTTTTACTAATAAATAATAATAATATTAATTATTATAATAATATTTTATTTTTAATTATTTATAAATTTTGAATTGAAGAAACTAACTAAAAAAAATCTGTTTTTTCTTTAAAAAAATAAAAAATACTCCTCATAGAAAGAACTACCCACGTTTTCTGGAAAACACATATATTTATAATAATAATAATAATAATAATAATAATAATAACATATATATATATATATATATATATATATATATAGAACTAATTTTTTTCTTAATTTAAAACAATTCTAAAAAATAGGGATGTGTGATTCCTTTTTAAGTGGGAAGTTATCATATTTTTATTAATTTGAATAATAAAAAAAATTATTGTTAATATTATTATTATTTATTAATAAAAATATGAAAACTTCCCAAAAAAAAGAATATGTTAAATTTGAAACTAAAAATATTTTTATTTATTAAAGAATTATTAATAATTAATAATAATAATAAGATCCACCAAAATAAAATCCACCAAAAAGTTACAAAAATATTTAAAATATACAAAAATAATAATATTTTTTAAATTTCTAATTTTTAATTTGAATTGATCTTAATACTTATCTAATTGATATTTTTAAATTTCAAATTAATGACAACTTCTCATCAACGATTTATTAAGTTATCATAATATGACTTTTTAATGCCTTACAATTATCCTATAAATATACCTACTATTCCCACTTTCCCATTTCCTTTCCTCCGCACACAATCACATCCCCATTCACTATCACATTTTTTCAAATTCTCACATTAATGAAGCAATGAATTTTTTCTTTTCAATAGTACCCGTCTTCGTCATGAATAGCACAATATTCAAAGGAATAAAAATGGTAATATTGAGTTGATGCATATTATTTTTATATATAAATTATCAAAATTATAGTACTAATTTGTAATTTGTATTATTGTTTGTCTTTATTTATCTATATTTTTTAATTATACATAGTATTAACTTCTATATTCATATTGGTGTTGATTATTTAGACGGAGATCAAACTCATGCCATGATTAAAAGATTTGTGAATTTATGTATTATTATATCTAATAACATTTAATTTAATAGTTAAGCATTTTCATATTAAGAGTCTTTAATTATCTTATATTTCTGATTACAATGACTGATAAGTCATTCTTTAAATAGTATTTGGAGAGTGAGGTTGTGAAAATATGTATTTATGTCTTTTATGTAAATATTAAACTATTATTTGAATCACTAAATTGGATATTGCAATAAATTTTGCTCTTTATTAGTTTCAGATCATTAATTTGTATTTAATGTCTAAATGTTATGAGCATTTTTTAAGAGGCCAAAAAATCTTCATGGGTGTTTATGTAGCAGCAGCAGAAAATGATTATATCCATGTATATCATACAATGTGAGACAGTTCTTTCATTTTAATTTATATGACTAAATATTTATTTTACTATTTGTTTTGTGAGCATCTGTTTTATAAATTATAGTTCAACTTTTAGATTACTCTATTTGTTTTAAAATAAAAAGTAATTATACATTGTGAAATCATGAAAATGTTTGTTCTTCTTTTGTTTATAGGCATGTGTTCAAGGCTCATAATTTAAGATAATACAACATTTATCAAATATGATTTTGTTCGATTAATTATTTTTCCATGAAATATTCTCAACTTTTTGTTAAAATTATCTAAGATTTTATGTTATCTTTATAGAGGTTAAAAAGATAAAATGTGAAGATTTTGTGGAAGTTTAAAGAAATCCAAAAGAACTAACTAGCAATCACCTTCATTAAAGGAGAAACAAAACACTCCAAACTTTTCAAATACCATCATTTTAAAAGATTTAAATATCTTTTCTAAAAATATGATAAATAATTATGTCAAAATCTATCAAATGCAACTACCATAAACACCACGTAATATTTATATTTATATATTACTAATTTGCATATTTTAAAAAAAAATTGAACTTATTAATGAAAAAAATACTAAAAAATTACAAAATACCTAAATAACTATATCAGTTTATCTCCTACATGGATTAAATTAAATTTGTGTAATTGTAGTTTTTTTTTCATATTGAAATGCAGGTCTAAAATTTAGGTAACTGATCAAGATTTGGTTTTTCTTTTTTAAAACTTTATAATTCAAATTATTTTAATTTATAAATTGAATTTTAACAAAAACATTTAAGCGATAATTTTTAACAACGTCATTTGGTAGTTTTAGAACAAGGCCAAAACAAAAGAAAAATAATAATAAACAAAAATTAACTATTTGATTAGAAAATAAATTAAAAAATGTCATGATACAAAATAAATTTAAAATAAAACAGGTAACTGAAAAAAAGAAGAAGAAAAAGTAAACATTAATAAAGAAATAGCTTAAAATCTGTAGGTAAAATAAAAATAAAAACAATAATTATCTAAATCTCTCACCACTTACTTAACTGTCTTAATCTCTTAAAATTCAACTATAAGCCAAAAATGCTACGTATCAATTCAAAGTTTAAGTTTGTATGAAGATGACTTTAAATATTTCAAATCTCTTTTCTGTAAAAAAAAAAAAAAAAACATGTTATCAACATAATGATTTTCGAATTATCATTTCTTAGAAAGGATAAATTTAAAATACTATAAATTCATATTTTGCAAATAAAGCCACACGTCTCATCAAAATAATTAACAATTGTTTCCGTTTGATTTTATTTTTTAAAAAAAGAACTACCTCCAGAAAAACATAATTTTAATTTGATAAATAATTATGTTAAAATTTGTCAAATAAAACTGCCAAAACACAAAATTGATAGTTATAATTATTTTAATAATTTGGAGATTTTCTCAAAAAATAATTTTATCAATTAAAAAATCACTAAAAAATGTTCTTATTTAAAAAATAAATTAACGATAAATAATTTTCAAATTATAATATATATTGAACAAAAAATAACGTTAGGTTATATTTACTAAATAATAAAATATACCACACATTTAAAAAGGCTAAACAAATCTCTATAGTAATCAAAGGAATAGAAGATGCCCCATTTTTTTATCTTTCCATTTTTTCTTTGCACGAAAAATATATTAATTTGATAATTTATTTTATGTGGGATATAATAATTTGATTATAGTAGTATCTTTTTTTAATTGATCATTGAAAGTCCTTCTTTTGTACATTTTTATTTTATGAAAAGATATTTGATTAAATAAAGGTGATCTTATTTTTCAAGATTGAACGCGAGCGGAGTATGCTAAAGAGGTTGCAACATGTTTTGCAAATTATATATTTAGTATTTGCTAATAATATTATAAATATTTTTAATACTAAATTTATATTGATCTATGAATTTAAATTTTAATTATACAACAATATCACTTCAACACACGTCACATATGCTATTAATCTTCATTATACTAGAAGAAGAAAAAGTTGTTAGACTAATGTTTAGTGTTTTTAAAGAATATACCCATATTTCACATAAATTATGCTAAAATTTTGTTAGCATGAAGTGTATATTATAAAACTAAAACATTATATATGATTTGATGAGATATGTGAAGAAGTAGTTAGTTAAAAGTCATTAAACTGATGAAGGGTAGATTAGTCTTTGTGTATTGTTTAGTTGTAACAAACTATGCTCAGTTAGTTAGAAGGAATTAGCTACAGAATGTGGTCTATAAATACCACTTTCATTACTTGTATTCTTCAGCCTTTTGAGCTCAATCAATGAGAAGCTTTTCTAAAATAGCAGTTACTGCTTAGTGTTAATTCTGAGTTGTTTAGTTTTAGTTCATGGTATCAAAGCTATACATAGTGATTATTGTGAGAGGCGATCAATTTGGAATCACTAAATCAATTGTGCAGATTCATCAGATTGACAGTTCTTTAGCTGAACTGAGTGGTGATTGAAAAGCAATTGAGGATTGATTCTCTTCCGCAACAAGTATTCATCAATATTTCGTTTAGAGATGGATAATCCAAGAGCAGAAGTAGATCCAATTCAAGGTTTCAACAATGGCAACAATGGAGAACATGTAGGTGCATCAACTGCTCTACCTAGTTTTATGACTAGCTAAGGTATTGATTTCAATCATCCTCTGTTTCTTAGCCCATCAGATGTAAGTGGAGTCAACCTTCTTTCGTTTCAATTACTTGGTGTTGAAAACTACACTATATGGATTAGATCAATCACACTAGCTTTGTTAGGTCGAAATAAACTAGGTCAGATTGATGAATTATGTAACAAAGAAGTTTTTAGTGAAGAACTAGGGAGTCAATGGGAAAGAGCTAATGCAATTGTCTTAACATGGCTAATGAATTCAGTGTCAAAAGGTTTGCTTAGTGGAATTGCATTTGCATCCATTGCTATGCAGGTCTGGAATGATTTGAAAGAGAGATTTTTATAGAGTAGATGATTCTAGAACCTACAGTCTTCATAAGGATATTGCATCATTGCAGCAGGGTACTATGTCTGTTTCTGAGTATTACACTAAACTCAAAACCTTATGGGATGAGTTTGAGATGGTAGTGCCCACACATTGCTGTAACTGTGCTAAATCAAAGGAGTTTGTCATTCACCTAAATAGATAAAAGTTGTATCAGTTCTTAATGGGATTAAATGAATCTTATCATCAGGCTAGAAGTCAAATTCTAATGATGAATCCCTTGCCTACTGTTAACCATGCTTATGCTATGATAATTGGAGATGAAAGTCAAAGAGTTGTAATATCACACATTAGCAACATGAGATTTAATTCCGTTAGTCTAGATTATGTGGCTATGTACTCGAAGGTAGGTGCTACATCAGGAGTAAGTCAGAGATTTAAGAAAAATTCCTTCCTGAAATGTGAGGTCTGCAAATGTAAAGGTCACAGTAAGAAGACTTGTTATAGAGTAGTTGGCTATCCAGCTGATTTCAAGTCCAAAAGAAAGGTTCAAGGTTCTTCTTCAGAAATCAACAACACTGGGCAATATCAGTCAAATCAGGCTCATTTTTCATATGGTTTGAACACCAATGTCTATGCACCAGGGTGGAATAGGAAACCTGACAACTTGGAGACTGATCATGGAGTGATGGAGAGTGCAAATCATTCTAAGACACTAAGTCAAGATGAAATGAATGCCAAACAGTTATTGAAGGGTTGCACATTCACAAAGGAGCAGTATGATCACATTCTTAGAGGACTTCAGCAACAGTCAAACACTAACACTAGCACAGCTGAGTACAACCATAGCAGTTCTGCTCACACTGCAGGTAAAGCCTTGTTTGTATATGAGAATAACAAAGTATGGATTGTTGATACTGGAGCAACAAATCACATAGTTTCTCATTTACACATGTTCATAAAAGGCACTGTGTCTAAGTTAGTTATTCCTAAGATGGTATCTCTGCCTAATGGAGACACTACCCAAGTCACTCATGTTGGATATTGTGCTTTGTCTGATAAGAGCATCATTTCTAATGTATTCTACCTACTTGAATTCAAGTATAACTTGATGTCTGTAAGTAAACTGACAAAGGAGCTAGATTGCTCGGTCACCTTTTTCCCTAACTTTTATATTTTTCAGGATCTTTACAGTGGGAAGGTGAAGGAAGTTGGTAGGGAAGTAGGATGTTTGTATACTCAAAGTCATGACAGAAGTGAAAAGGAGATTGTCTTAGCAGTAAATCAAGTTCCCTCAAATATGGAGTTGTGGCATCAAAGACTAGGGCATGTGTCTTCTGTAGTACTTTCCAAAATCTTTGATATGAATAATCAAAGCATGTGTAAAGTGTCCAAATGTTTAGTTTGTCCCTATGTAAAACAGACCAGACTCATTTTTCCTTCTAGTAGCATCAAAAGTTGTAATTGTTTTGACTTGATTCATATTGATCTATGGGGTCCTTATAATACTCCTACTTTTGATGGAAACAAATATTTTCTTACAATAGTTGATGACTTTTCTAGAATGACTTGGCTCTTCCTACTCAAACATAAGTATGATGTATGTGTATGTTTCTGCAGTATGTCAAAACTCAGTTTGGTAAACAGGTTAAAGTGATCAGAAGTGATAATGGCACTGAGTTTGTGAATTCAGTGTGTACTACTATGTTCAAGGAATTGGAAATTATTCATCAAAGGTCTTGTCCTTATAAACCTCAGCAAAAGGGAACATAGACATTTATTAGAGATCTCAAGGGCATTGAGGTTTCAGGTAAAAATTCCATTAACATTCTGGGGGCATTATGTACTTGTTGCTGCATATCTCATCAACAGAGTCCCAAGTAGTGTTATTAACTATCAAACTCCTTATGAAAGATTGTATGGATGTAAGCCTATGTTGTCACATTTAAAAACTATCGGTTGTTTGTGCTTTGCCAAGAAACTAGTTGAGAATGATAAACTAATGCCAAAGTCTAAGTCAGTAGTCCACATGGGGTACTCAGAAATACAGAAAAGGTACATACTGTTTGATCTTACTACTAACACATTCTTTGCCAGCAGGGATGCGTTATTTAGAGAAGATATATTCCCTTTCTCACAAGACAGGTTATATGACAAGCAACCTCTGTTTAAAGACTGCCTATTAGACTCCACCGAGCTGTTACAACACTTACCTGCTATAGTTCCCACAACTACACAGGTTGAAGTTTCTGATGAGTTGCCAAATGCTGAGTCTACTCCTTCATACTATACAAATTCACCTACTGAGACTGAGATTCACTCTCAAGTGTCTGGTGGTGTTGAAGAACCAGTAATTGAGGTTCAAGAAGCTGAAGATGTGCTACCAACTAATCCTAGAAGGTCTACAAGGACTAAACATACTCCTACATGGCTTAAGGATTTTGTTTCCTTGAATACCCATACTGAGGTCAAGTATCCAGTAAGCAACTACATCAGTTATAGTCATTTGTCACCTACTTACCAGTGTTATCTGGCTGCTACTTCATCTGTCAAGGAACCTACTACATACTCAGAGGCAGTTCAAGACCAAAGATGGGTAGAGGCTATGAAGGCTGAGGTTCAAGCACTAGAAAACAATCAGACTTGGGTGGTCACTGATCTGCCACCAGGGAAGAAGCCTATAGGCTGCATATGAATTTTTAAAGTCAAATACAATCTACAGGTGAAGTAGAGAGATTTAAAGCTAGGTTGGTGGCTAAGGGGTATAGTCAACAAAAGGGTATTGACTATCAAGAGACTTTTTCTCCTGTTGTAAAGATGGTCGTTGTAAGATGTATTATTTCCCTTACTGCTTCAAGGCATTGGCACATTCATCAGATGGATGTATTTAATGCATTTCTACAGGGTGATCTTGCAGATGAGATATATATGGAGTTGCCTCAAGGATTTTCCAGTCAAGGGGAGAAAGTGTGTAGACTGACAAAGTCATTATATGGGTTGAAGCAAGCTCCAAGGTAGTGGAATCAAAAGTTAACTGAAGCTCTCACCAATCTCAAATTCAAACAAAGTCAGTATGATCATTCATTATTTGTTAACGATTCAAAAGCAGGGATCATTTTGGTGTTAGTCTATGTGGACGACATGCTGATCACTGGCAGCAGTTTGGAGTTAATAGAAAAGACAAAGCATGAACTAAAATACTTCCTAGGTATTGAGTTCACTAGGTCAGCATAGGGTATATTGATACATCAAAGGAAGTATATCCTAGAACTTATAGCTGAGGTTGGCATGTCAGCAGCCAAGCCTGCAGGGACTCTTATTGATGTTAATGTTAAACTAACATCAAAATAATATGATGATCTTATGAAAGTCAAAGAAGCCTCTTAGGATCCTCTAGTAGATCAGAAAGCATATCAAAAGTTAATTGGAAAACTTTTGTACCTTAACATGACAAGACCAGACATAACTTTCAGCACTCAAAGCTTAAGTTAGTTTCTTCAGCAACCAAAGAAGTCACATATGGTTGTTGCATTAAGAGTAGTCAAATACTTGAAAAACCTGGACAAGGCTTGCTATTTTCTAGTTCCTCTAATGAAGAAGTTAGTGCATTCTGTGATGCAAACTGGGCTTCTTGTGCTATTACTAGGAGATCTGTCTCAAGCTATATGGTTAAAATGGGAAAATCCTTGGTGTCATGGAAAGCAAAGAAGCAGACCACAGTTTCTAAGAGCTCAGCTGAAGCTGAGTACAGAAGTCTTGCTTCAACAGTCTCAGAATTAATATGGTTACTTGGGATGCTTAAAGAAGTGGAGGCTAAAGTTCAAGTACCAATACAGGTGTATAGTGACAGTAAGGCAGCAATTCAAATTGCTGCAAATCTAGTTTATCATGAGAGGACAAAACACATTGAAATTGATTGTCATTTCATAAGGGAAAGGATACAACAAGGGTTGATTAAAGTGAACTACATTTCTACACAAGAACAACCTATTGATATATTGACTAAAGGGTTGTCATGAATATCTCTTATCCAAGTTAGGTGTGTTGAACATTTTTATCCCATCTAACTTGAAGGGGAGTGATGGGATATGTGAAGAAGTAGTTAAGTAGTTAGTTAAAAGTCATTAAACTGATGAAGGGTAGATTAGTCTTTGTGTATTGTTTAGTTGTAACAAACTATGCACAGTTAGTTAGAAGGAGTTAGTTACAGAATGTGGTCTATAAATACCACTTCCATTACTTGTATTCTTCAGCCTTTTGAGCTCAATCAATGAGAAGCTTTTCTAAAAGAGCAGTTACTGCTTAGTGTTAATTCTGAGTTGTTTAGTTTTAGTTCATGATTATACATGCACTTTTGTTACTCAATAATAATTTGTATTAGTTATTTTTTAAGTTTAAAAAAATTATATTTTTAAATATCCGCGTATACTAGTATATATATATATATATATATATATATATATATATATATATATATATATATATAATAAGAGAGGTGATAGTGCTTATGTGTCAGCACCACAAATTTTATTTTATTTTTAATTTAAAAAATGATTTTAAATCAGTTCTAGAAAATAGGGAATAAACTGTAAATCTGTATTTATTATTTATTTTTTTAAAACACTCTATAAAGTAACGTATGTGGTCCTTTTTTTGTGGAAATGTATTTTTAAATTTTAACCATCTTTCCACAACCTCCTCATTTAAATAAAAACAAATGTAGATAATAATAATAATAATAATAATAATAATAATAATAATAATCTATATATATATATATAATAGGAAAGGTGGTAATGCTTTCGTGTCAGCATCACAAAAATCAATACAAATAATCAGTTAATTTTAAACCGAACAAATTAAGTACTAAATTAAATTTTTGCATTTTTTAAAATCTGGACAATTACGTAAAATTTTCACACAGTTAATTTCAATTTAAAAATCAATATATAAGGCAGTTTAAGTTTTTTGTTTGCTTTTATAGTCAATTAAAAAAAAAATATAACCATACCAGTTTGCTTTACAAAATAACTTCCCACGTTTTGTTTTAAAAAAATATATATAACTACCAAAACTCTTTACATTGACAAACTCACTTTGTCTGTACTATGAACATTAAAGGACAAAAAAAAGCTTTGAACTTTTAGCAACGGGAAGGGGATGTTATAATAGATTTGTGGATGACAAGCTTATTATAGTTGCTAAGGTATCAATTCCAAGAAATTTACGCCAATTGCTTTTAGGATCGTTTTAGATGGAGAAGATAATACAGTGAAATTACAACTTCTTCCTTTTAAAAAAAATCATATTGCAATGACTATTTAATGCATGTTTGTGGCTTTCATGTGAAGGTACATTATTATTTTTATTTTCTTCATTTAGTGATTGGAGATTATGATACCATGATATTTTCTTTTGTTTAAAAATACAACTTTGATACTAATCCATCATTTCTTGAAGTTTTTGTCAAGTTACTAACTTATGTCAAATTGTGAAATAGATAAATGGTGCAAAAGTTTCATAATATAAGTTGTTGAAATCATTTCCTCCTTTCAAATGACTTTTAAGTACAACTATTTGCACTTAAGTTAATATATTTTTTTCCACAAATAATTACTTTTTTTTATCTTAATTTACGTGGAATAATTTGAATTTCAATAGTCGAATTCTAATTTTGACCACAACTTCTGCCAATAATTTTGATTGTCGAATAAATTTTATATATTTGAAAGCTATGAAAGAAGTCAGTCAAACATAGCTATTTGTTCAAAGATATAGGAAATTAAAATTGATTTAAGTGTTAATAATTACTTGCCATGAAATGATTAAATATTATTATTATTATAATTATTATTATGTAAAGATTTCCTAAATGCTATCTACAAATATTTTATTATACTCTTTCCCAAATTATACAATGTAAATTTAAAAGGGTACACATTTTAAAACATATGTGCATACTTTAAAATTTGTGATTTAAAAATAAGTCATAAGTGTTTTTGTGACTATAAAATATAAATTATTTTATTGGGAGTCACATTTATATGTTAATATTTAATTTTTACTAAATATATAAATATTTCATTTTTGAGAGCCTTACTAAAAGAAAAGGCGTGTAATATAATTATAACAATAGAAATACAAAATTATTGACCAAAATTAAACTAAAATAAGGAAGTGAAGTTACAAGTATAAAGTTTATATTTCCCAAGTATTCCGTGATAGTAAATTACAAACTCTTTAAATATATTTTTTAATTTAAAAAAATAAATTAAAATTTGAATTCAAAGTAGTTATAACTTTTCAACTTTATCTTTATTAATTCAAAAGTAAACATCTTTTCAAGTTTTATCTTTATCCATATCCTAAATATTTGAGGGTTAGAATTTGAAGTAAAATATTTTTTTACGATACATGGAACATAAATACTATCATTATTATTATTATTATTATAACTCCATTGATGTCTATTCTTTTAAAAAAAAAAACTTGAAAAAATACAAAATATAAATGAAAAAGAAAAATGAAAATTTTCTAACCTGAATATTAACTACCCCACGTTCCAATCCCTGCTACCTCAGATCATATGTACGTTATCCCTACTTTCTATTTTTTCTCACAAAGAGATTTCAAAATCATTAAAATGCCCACAAAAGTAACTTGGAGGAATTGTAACAGAGACATTGCACGAAGTGGCAAATATTCACTGTCCATCGTTTAGCTATTTGTGATAGAAAATAAACTGCAGCAAAGATGAAAAGAAAAGACTCGCAAGTGTGGAAATTTTCTCTGTATCGATACCCCTAAATATTCAGTTACAAGAGTCCTTAAAAAGAAAACATTATACATAAAAAATAGGTTTACTTTCCTAATAATTCTGAATATAAAAACTGACTCCACTACTCCTATAGCCTAAAGCCTAGGAAACAACTTAATGACTCCTAAACAAATGCAACAACCTAACTACTCTGATCATGTTGCCAACATTCCCTCCCTTAAACTGAAACATCTTTCAGTTTAATTTGCAAACACCAAGTTGATCGCGTAGCTTTAGAATGGACACTGGTTTCAGGGGCTTTCTGAACATGTCTGCAACTTGCTCTTCACTTCTACAATAAATAAGACTAATCTTTGCATCCTTAGTCAGATCACGCAAGAAGTGATACTTCACATCTATATGCTTACTTCGTCCATGTTCAATTGGATTCTTTGAAAGATTAATCGCCGAAGTATTGTCACAATAGATTGGAGTTGGTCTTTCCTGCTTAAAATGAAGTTCTTCAAGAATATTCCTCAACCATACTGCTTGACAGGCACACGATGTTGCAGCTACATACTCTGCCTCGGTAGTCGACAAAGTAACAATAGGTTGCTTCTTTGAAGACCACGAAATAACTCCAAAGCCCAACATAAAAACATATCCTGATGTGCTTTTCCTATCTTCAAGATTTCCAGCATAGTCACTATCAGTGTAACCAACTAAATCTCCAGCTGCTCTCATCTGATAAAGAATTCCAAGGTCACTGGTGCCATTCAAATACCGCAGGATCCTCTTGGCAGCTTGTAGATGCATTTCTTTTGGACTCTCCATGAATCTGCTAATGAGACTTACAACGTGCATAACATCAAGCCTTGTTGCCGTCAAGTACATCAAGCTTCCAACGATTTGCTTGTATAAAGTGCTGTCCACTTTTCTCCCTTCAGGTTCTTTGACTAGCTTCAGACCCTTCTCCATTGGTGTGCTCAAAGTGTTGATATTTTTCATCTGGAATCTGTCCAGAATATCTTGCACATATTTCTTTTGGGAAACAAAAATACTATCAGCAGATTGATTCACTTCTAAACCAAGAAAATAATGCATAATACCCAAATCGGACATGTCAAACTCAACCATCATGGACTTCTTGAAGTTCTCAATCATAGACACATCACTTCCGAATTAAATTAAGTCATCCACATATAAACACACCATTAAGACCCCTGCACCTTTCCTTTTTATATAAAGAGTATGTTCATATGGACACTTTCGAAATCCCTCCCTTGAAAAATAAGTATCTATGCGACTATACCAAGCTCTTGGAGCTTGTTTTAGTCCATATAGAGCCTTTTTCAGTCTAAGCACTTTATTCTCACCACCAAATTCCACATAGCTAGGAGGTTGTTTGATAAATACCTTTTCTTGAAGTTCACCATGTAGGAAGGCAGATTTCACGTCCAGCTAATAAATTTTCCAAGCATTTTGAGCAGCCAAAGCAATCACCAATCTGATGGTATCTAATCGAGCAACGGGAGCAAACACTTCTACATAGTCAACACCATATTCTTGCTTGTAGCCTTTTGCTACTAAGCGATCTTTGAACTTGTCAACCTCTTCGTTTTCCTTCAACTTTGTTTTGTAAACCTATTTGACACCAATGGTTTTCTGATTTTCTGGAAGATTTGTCAACTCCCAAGTATCATTTTTTTCAATTGATCTAATCTTCTCATCCATGGCTTGCTACCACTTCAGGTCTTTAACAACATCAGCAAAAGATATAGGATCACAATATGAAAATAAAGAAAAATGACTTACTGTATTTCCAGATTTTCTAGTCCCATATACCTCATAATTTTCCAACCATCTTGGTGCCCCTCTATTACGTTGTGGACGTTCATTGTTGAGCTGACAACCACCTGATTCATGTTCAACACTTTCAGCATCCTGTACAATTGGACTTGCTTGTGAACTGATCTCCGAAGGTCGTTCTGGTTCCTCTTCTTCTTCAACAGAAACTGGAATATGTTGAAACAAATTGTTATCACCCCAATTCCAGATTGCTTCTTCATTAAAAATAACATCTTGGCTAACAACTATTTTCTTGGTAATAGGATTGAACAAGCGATAAGCTTTTGATTTGTCACTAATACCAAGGAAAATGCACTTCTGACCTTTATCGTCCAACTTCTTCCTTGCCGCATCTGGAATATGTGCATATGCTGTACACCCAAAATTCGAAAGTACTCAACATTTGGTTTACGCCTACTCCAAGCTTCATGAGGTTTCATACTTTGAATAGAGCTGGTAGGACACTATTCAATATGTGCACGCTCCAACGAATTGCTTCTGCCCAAAAGTCTCTTGGTAAGTGACTTCTCTTCAAAAGACTACGCACCATATCAAGAATTGTGCAATTTTTTCTTTCACACAGACCATTTTGTTGAGGTGTGTAGGTTGCGGTAAGGTGCCTTTTAATTTCATGTTTCTCACAAAATTCTACAAATTCTAGTGAGTTATATTCACCACCTTGATCAGTCCGCAAACACTTAATTTGACAACCTACTTCATTTTCAACAAGCACTCTAAACTTCTTAAAAGTTTCAAATGCTTCAGATTTTTCTCTTAAGAAAAATACCCAAGTATTTCTACTATAATCATTAATGAAGCTAATGAAATAACGTTTACCTCCATTAGATGTAGGACTTATCGGACCACAAATATCTGAATGCACCAACTCCAACACCTTCTTTGCCCTCCAAGAATTACGTTTTGGAAATGGTTCACGGTGTTGCTTGCTAAATAGCACACCTTCACATACTTCATTGGGAGATTAAAGCTCTGGAAGACCCAACAACAATTGTTTTTGTTTTTAGAAACTTCAAGCTTCCAAAATTTAAATGCCCATAGCGAAAATGCCACTTCCAGGAATCCCCTTTAACTTTTGCAGGGAGACAAGATTTTGTGGAGTTGTGAAGATATAAAGGGAACAAGCGATTTGATGACATGTTAATCTATGCGATTAACCCCAAATGAGAATCTCGTATCTTACAAACTCCACCTTTGATATTAAGTTCGTATCCCTTTTTTTGAAGTTGCCTAGCACTTAGTAGATTTGTCTTCAACGCAGGGACATAAAACGCATCACTGATGATATGAATGGAGTTGACTTGTACCTTCCCTTTTCCCATGGCAGAGACCACAGAATTATCTCCAAATCTCACAGCATCTCGGAAAGTTTCATCCAGCTCTGAGAATGCTTCTTTCTGCCCACACATGTGATTACTATAGCATGTATCGAGATACCATACATCATTTGAAGCTTTCTCTTTGGCAGTGTATGACATTAAAAGCGAAATCTCCTCTTCTTCTCCCTTTGTTTTCACATTTTCCTTCGTTTCTGCAAAGTTAGATCTGCCACCACTCTTCCTATTTAAATTGGTGCGACACTCAGATCGATAGTGTCCAAATCGATGGCATCGATAACATTCTATTTGAGACTTGTCACGTCTTTTTTCTTTTTCCTGGGAATCTGCAGTGCTGCTCTTCTCCTTTTTCTGGTGCCGATTATTTCCCTTCCATTTGACTCTCTCCTGATTTGTACCTTTCGAAGACATTGCTGACTTCAATGCTACTTCATCCTTGTCCTATTGGTTTATTTTCTGTTCATGAACCAACAAAGAACCCTGCAGCTCATCAAGAGAAAAAGTATCGATATCTTTGGATTCTTCAATGGAGCAAACAATATAATTGAACTTTGTTGTCATTGAGCGAAGTATTTTCTCAATAATGGTAACATCCTCCAGTTTTTCACCATGAATTCGCATTTTGTTTGCGATAGCCAACGTCCTAGAGAAATAATCTATTACCGACTCACCACCTTGCATACGTAGAGTCTCGAACTCACCACAGAGTGCTTGAAGCTTCACTCGTTTTGCCTTCGCTGTTCCTTGATACTTCTTCTTCATGGAATCCCATATTTGTTTGGAAATATCCTTGCCAAGAATGGTTTCCAGTATTGAGCGATCAATAGCCTGAAAAAGGTAATTCTTCGCTTTGAGATCATTCAATCTTAGACTATCCAACTCTGCCTTTTGTGTTTCCGACGAGGCAGTACCAGTTGCTGGCTCTTGCACGCCAATACTGACAACTGGCCAAAACTCTTTGGACCTAAGGAAGTTCTCCATTAACATGCTCCAATGGTCGTAATGACCATCGAAGCGGGGAATAGCGGCCTGGACAAAATTTTCAGAAGCCATCTTTTGTTGCTGCAATAGTACTTCAAAAAAGAAGAAAAAACTTTCTGGCTTTGATACCAAATGATAGAAAATAAACTGCAGCAAAGATGAAAGAAAAGACTCGCAAGTGTGGAAATTTTCTCTGTATCGATACCCCTAAATATTCAGTTACAAGAGTCTTTAAATAGAAAACATTATAAATAAAAAACACGTTTACTCTCCTAATAATTCTGAATATAAAAACTGACTCCACTACTCCTATAGCCTAAAGACTAGGAAACAACTTAATGACTCCTAAACAAATGCAACAACCTAACTACTAAACCACGTCTGATCATGTTTCCAACAATCTGTATCATTGTTGATGAACTTCCTCTCTCTTAAAATAAATTTAGTGATACAATTTTCAGGATGTATTAATAAACTTAAGGGCTATGACGCGTATATATATATATAATATTAACTTTTTGAAGAAAAACTTCATTTTTTCCTTATTTAATATTTATTTGACATTGGTTAAAATTAACGTGAGTTGTAAAGAAAATAACCGATTTAAAATTTTGTAAAGTTTTAACATTAACAAAACTTAAATGGCGTATGTGATTCCTTATTTTGTGGAAATTTATCATTATCATATATATATATATATATAAAAGTGCCCACGCATAAACAAGTTGTAAAATTTATTATATAAAAAAATTAATCGATATTTTAAATTTGAGGTGGAAAAAAACTTCAAAATCTAAACAAATAAAGCTAAATAAATAAATTATTATTGAAATATTTACTCTGATAAAAATAGTAAAATTCAAAATCTAACCGTAATAGAAGATAAAGCCAAATATTTAGGGATAAGTGATAATAGTTATCTTAAAATCGGTAAAAGAGTAACTTATTTTTCAATCTCTATTTATTTATATATACTTTTATTGAACATGTGGAAGGAAGTACAAATGATGATAGAGATATGGTGGGCTGATGTGATTAAAGAGAGGAGGCAAACGAAAGATTCCCATTAGCATTTACGACAAATTAACTTTGAAATTATTTTCTCACAAAAATCTTGAGAGCTTTGAAGCGGTGAATTATGTTGATCTCTTTTAATTAAAGGTGTAGAAAAATATCAATTTTAAAGTTAGGTTACTTCAACAGTTAATAGTAAAAGAAAAAAAATTATTTAAAAAAAAAACTATTTTTGATGTTTTATCTTTCTCTTGGAGCATTTGAAACAAAGTTACCAAATTATCAACTTTAGATTTTTTATTATTTATTAGTTCGTATGATTTTACCTCATTCTTCTTTATTATTAACAATCTCAATGATATTATGTATAGTTATTTATATGAAAGGATTTTGATCTATAAAGTAGAAAGTTTGTTCATCAAAATTACTGCTTTTTTCTAATTGTCAAAAAATTGTTGCTGCTTTTATAGCAAAAATATTTATGCATTAACTTTGTACCAGATGATTGTAGATTGTAATTGGTGGGAAAGTTGGCAGATTGTAATTGGTGGTAAAGATTGTAAAGGTTAGACTTCTTTCTTTTATATTTAAGAGATACCTTAATCCCAAATAATGAAATTTAATTCAACATTATTTCATTTTTTTTTTGGCAGATTTTTGAGGATAAATGTTATCACTAATTTAAAATGACAGTTCACAACAAGAAGAAACTTATGAGAAGTTTGAAAGTATTGTATCCAAGAAAATATGTTTGAATAGAGTAAGAGAAGTTTGTAAATAATTTTAATTATCTACAAAAAAAAATTCTTGAGATTTTTTTTAAGTTTGCTGAATTCTTTATTCGAAGACTACTATGTTATTATATATTATATATTATATATTATATATTATTTTGGGGTTTTGAATATTATTATATACATGTGATTGAATTTTATTTTATTTTTGAAAAAATAAGAAATTAAACATGTGATGAGATGCTATTACTAACTTAAAAAATCTAGAAGAAGAAGATATGGAAGGATGTTGAACACTTCACTAACTATATAAAAAAAAATGGCATTATATTTCATATCGGTAAATCAATTTAGTAAAGTATAATTAATGAGATTTAAAAAAAAAAAAATATAAATAATATCAATCAAATCACACATATATAAAATAAAACGAAAGAAATAATAGATAATATGACAATTTATATACTATATCACCCTTTATATCACAAGCCATCTCATTCATTACGATGAATAAATACTTAATAAAAAGGAATAAAATCGATATAAAATGATAAATTATCTCTTATATTTTAATTATATAAGTGAAATAAAAATTTATTTTTTATAGTAATCAACAAAAGTGAATGGAGGAGTATATTTTTATGAGTGTTCAACTTTTTTTCCCTCATTATCATCAAAATCAATAAATTTTGCAGTCTTCTATCTATATATAAATTGTACGTGCAATAATGACAGACAAAGTTATACAAATTTCAGTAAAAATGACTAGATTTTATAATCTCAAAAAATATATTACGTTATTTTATTCACAGAATATAAATATTTTTAAAAATATTTTATGTTTCATTCTTGAATCTTAATCAACTCAAAACTTTAAATTAAATGTATATTTGCTTTTGAATTTGGGTTTAACGATAAAAAATTATCTTGAAATGTTTTTAAAAAGTAAATTGACAGATTAAGGTTTAAAATTTAAATTTAATACTAAAGAATTTTTGAGATGGTTACAATGTTTCCTCTTTGTCTTGATTGTAGAAGTTTTAAAATTTCAATTTTATTAAACTACAAGATAAACATAATATTGATAGATAAAGATTTAATTTTTTTAAAGATGGTTATAAATTTTCCTCTTTATCGTAATTGTAGAAGTTTCAAACTACAAAAACATCTTTTTAAAAAAAAGAGTTATTCTAATCAATCAAATATAAGTAAAAGTAAAATTAATTTTAGGAATTTAACATATTTTAGAAATCAAGCAAGTTATACGGTAAAAATTATTATGAACAAAGAGCCATTTCAAAATACAAAATCCTATGAGGAGTAATAAAGCAAACGTGGTCTTAGGGATCTTATTAGACCAAATATGTGCATGTGCCATGTCTGGTATTAGGGGTGTTCACGGGTGGGTTTGGATCGGTTATTGGTTAAAACCAAAACCAAATCAAACTTAATCGGTTTTTAAATTATCAAAACCAAACCAAATCAAATATAATATACATTTATCGGTTTGGTGATTATCGATTTCGGTTTGGTTTGGTTCGGTTATTCAGTTATTAACCATACACAAAAATAAAAGAAGTAATTCATTCAAAATGTGAAAAAAGTGACAACAATCCATTCAAAACGAAAAATAGTTAGAATCACTTAAATTATTATTGAACTTTCGATCACTAAATTTACTATCAATAAAGCTTTAAAATTCACTATATTAGCCTAGAAGGAAGAGACAATAACATTTTCAGTCCCACAAGAATTGTCATAAACACTCATATACATGAAATCAATAAGATAAATATTTCATTTGAGGCATTTTTGTTTTCAATAAGTAAATTATAAAGAAATTTTAATAAAAGTATGTATAAGATCTTTAAAATTGTTTATAAAAACAATCTATTAAATATGTATATTAATAAAATATATGTATATAATTCATCGGTTTGGTTCAATTATTTCTTCGATTTTTTTTGAATAAAACCATAACCAAACCAAATACTATCGGTTTTCAAAAATCTAAAACCAAACCAAACCCAAATAAAATCGGTTTTTATTTTATCGGTTTGGTTCGGTTTTTCGGTTTGGATCGATTTTTATCCAAACCGTGAACACCCCTATCTGGTATTATGAAAATTATGTTATATAATATTAATTTAATGTGCTCAAATAAATAAGTTAATGATTAGTATTATTACTTTTAAAATATACATTACTAAATAGACAATAAATCTTAATTATTTTAAATTTAAAATATTATTATATTTTAAATAGCCGCATAACGCGCAGGTACGTATACTAGTAATCCTAAATAGGACTCAAATCTCATCCAAAAAAAAAACTCTTAAAAAAACGTTTTTATTCCAGCCCAACTTAAAAAATTGATATCTCACTCGTTTTAAATCTGTTTTTCTGTTAAAATATATTTTCGGAAAGCTACAAATGAGTAGATGATGAATAAATTATGTTTCGAACCAAAAAACTGTACATCAAATATCCAGATCGCTACAAACAGAAGCAGTTTTTTTGGAAAACAGTAAAAAAAAACAGTCAACTTTCCAAAATTCATATCTTACTTGTTTTAATTCCATTTTTTTAATTATAATATATTTTCGGAAAGCTACAACATATTAGATCATGAAAATATATGTTTTGACCAAAATTATTGAACAACCAATTTTTAGATTGGTACAAACAGAAGCAGTTTTTTCGAAGAAAATTACAGAATTTCTTTCTTTGTAGGACAAAGAATCCTATCTATATTATGAGTCATAATCAAATAGGATTTTTTAATCCACATTCAAATAGTCTTAAACAAACTTAACATCTTCCAATTTTTTCTATTCACTGATTTTAAAGGAAAAATAGTCACAATTTATTTCTTATCAACAATACAGTGAATGTACATGGAAGTAGTGAATTATGAGATAACTAACGATGACTCTGATACCAATGAAGAAATTTTAAAGGCAAAACAACAACAAGATGTGTACCTTGTAACTTGCAGCGGAAATATTTGTTGTTGATTTTGTTGTCTAAAGAAATTCCTCCAGATTACTCTTTGAATCTCAAGGAAAAAAGATCAGTCTTTGTTCACAAACTAAGAGCCTCCTTAGAGTGTTGATTGATTTGTCTAAGAAACTTACTTCTCTATTTCTTTACCGATCTCTTGTTTTTCCTCTTTCTCACGTTTTTCCTCTCCTCTCTTTTTTACGTTCCACGTCTCTTAAAAGTTACTCCCACTAGGAGTCTTTGAAGGGGAGGTTGAACAGTTACAGTGTAACTGTTCTGCCTTACCATTTTAAAAGAATTATCCAATTAATTAAATTGGAT